ATGCCCGTCCGCCCTATGCCACCTGTGCCCGCCCGTTCTGTGCCCGTCCACCCTGTGCCACCTATGCCCGCCCGCGCTGCAGCCGTCCGCCCAGCGCCGGCTGTGGCTGTCATCCCTGCTCCTCCTTTGCCCGCCCGCCCCGCGCCACCTGTGGCCGTCCGGCCCCCAGCTCTGCCCCCTCGTGGTGCACTACCCCTGCCTGCTGTACAGCACGCACCTGTGGCTTGGGCCGACATTCTCCCCCAACCCTTGGTGACTAGTCTGGTGGCTGCCCCTCAGTGCATTTCCGACCTGAGCTTTTTCAAGGTGAGTTTATGCTCGTCCTAATTATTTGCATCCTATATTTTCCCCTTGGAACATCTGTGTCTGCCTTACCCATCCATTCGCAGTAGGAAGCAATGATGTCTCTAAGCACATTTTTTGTCCAACTCCCATTCCCTTGGCAGAAAAACTGCAACTGGGTGGTTACCTTTAATATTGCTGATGCGCCTCCACGTGAGATCAATTTTTTCCCTGAGCTGGAAATGATGCGTGCGCAACTGGAGGACCGCTACGTGTCGCATGGAATTTCTCATGAGGTCTTCAACGTGGTGATGAACCAGCATCCTGAGCGGGAGAAAATCCTGAAGGACAAGATGTATGAACGTCGGAGCAACATTTGGTGTGCGATGAAGCCGTGGGGTCTTGGGCCAGGCGGTTACATCGCCGAATCGAAAGTCGTGATGCTGGCAGCAGAGAACATGGCGCCAACGAAACGCCGAAGTGCACTTGAATGGTGGACATTTTTCCGACACCGTGAGTCGTTTGACGTTTTAATTGCTTGCTTGTATGCCCTTGGTAAGTTCGTATACACTATTTCTTTTACCGCTGTTTTGCATTGCACGCATGTATTTTGATCACTGCAGTTGATGTATCTCGCTTTCCTCCCCATCTCCCCCTATCCCGCCTTTTCTGAGGCCCCCTTCTTCACCACCACACTTCATCACTCATTTCCCCTTCTCCCCCCCTTTTGCTTTCCCCTTGCATATCGCTTCCGTTGCTCTCACTCTCTCCACCCTAGGTTTCGCCCCCCCCCTTCCTCCCCTCTTTTCCCCTTCCACCCCTGTTTTCCCTTCTCGTTCACTTCCACCCCCAGCCCCCCCCCCCCCTCCCCCCCCCCCATGCCCCCCATCCCTCTCATCGTTCTTGTCCCCCTGTTTCCTGCCACCCCCGTTTCCTACCCCCCCACCCCTCTGAAGCGCTCTCCTTCAGCCCCACACTTCCACCCCTGTCCCCCCCCTGCCTCCGCTAGCCCTCTCCTTTCCGAACTCCTATATGCAGCCCATTTTTGTGTTCCATTAAGAACACATTTTCCCCTCCATTCCCTCCTTCTGCCCTTCCTTCTCCCCCCTTCCTCCCATTTTCTTTTCTCCCCTCTTCTCCCACCTACTCTTTTCCCACCACCACCCCTCTCCCCCCCCTCTAATTGTTGGTCATGCTCAGCTATCTATGATAGCAAGTGGCATTGCGATAACCAAGATCGTCCATTTGCAAATATGGCATTCGAGAAGGCATTGTGCAAGGGGCTTGGAGGAAAACGCTGCGGCACCTTCACGGCGACGATTATTCATGTGGCGACACTGCTTCACGTGGTAAGCCTCATTTCAACTATCATATTGATTTGTAACAACATATTAACCCTTGTAAACTGATCCATCACTTTGTACTGTGGCAGATTGAGTGGCCCATGGCCAATGCCAATGGCCGGGCCACTCCGGCATTGGAGGGCAATGATGCCTCCAACAGGAGAGAGATTGCCCGCAAAGTCACGCTGGTGATAGGGTGGATCAGAGAGCGCCTGGTTGTTGAGCCAACGCTTTATCACCCGCAGCCACCTGCGTTTTTCAGGATGGGCAGCAGAGCCGTTAGCATTCTAGTCGCGGGCTATGAGGAGGACTTTGCTTGCCTGATTTAAGTTGGCCAACCATGGCTAGTTACTGTAGATCATGACCCTGAGGTTGCCGACCATGGCTAGAGGGGGAATGGGCGGGGATTTAATTTCATTGCAACCCTAATTCGTAGGAAGTACCCTTATTGGTTTTTGTAGTAGCATGCTATAAGATTCTGAGTAATAATCATTTTATAGCCATTATGAGGAGTTTTCAACCAGCATGTGAATTTGAAATTACAAAGCGTTCCAATAACCAGACGTTCATGATTGTTTTATGGCATTCGCCCATTGAAAACAACATCGGGAAACAGCCATTCACGACCTGAAATACCCTCAGAAGAACCGGTATTCCAATGGCCATTTACATGCTACATGTTTATGGCGTCAAAATGGTCGTTTACAGGACTACTCCCCTTTCAGGTAGGGGGCATTTATGCCCCTTATAGGACCGTATGTAGCGATACATGACCCCTTGGTAAACGACCCCGATTGGCCTAAACCCACAACCATTAACGACCGGTATTTTAATGCCCACAGTAGGGTTAAAAATGACCCCTATTTCGTCGAAAATGGCCATTCTGAGACTCGACATTTTTGACTTGAAGTGCAGGTGTGCGAGTGGATACAAAGCGGTGGAGGGAAAGCCTCATCAGTGTGTCAAGGCGTGACACTTTTCAGACTTGAGGGTTGGATATGGTTTTGGGTAATTCTGGATAGCTGCGTATAGTAGTTCTAGTGGCAGTCCAGCGGCTATTTATCATGCGTGAGCGTGTGGATCCGCGTCTGCGTGTGCGTGTGCTTGTTGCACGTGTGCGTGTGGGCGTAACTAGTGCGGAGTGGCGACATTCAATCGGGGCAGTTAAGCAGGTCTAGCGAGGTTAGTACTAGTATCAGTAGTGGTCGGCTGATGTTACGATTATCCTGTCGAACATTCTCTTATTCCACACTTACCTTCAAATGATGCATCGTTACTAGTAACTACTGACGGGTGCACGAGACCTCTGATGAGTCTGCAGACGATCTTTTGTGCTCACCGGAAAAGCGGAGGGGCTTGAATTTGAGAAACTGGCGGACTCCCGGCAACTTCCGTGTCTGGCGGGATTTGAGCTCCTTCGAATGCGCGCTGTGGTAGCTCCTTCAAAGATTGCAGATGCACCAACTTTTGCACGCGCCACGCTTCCGCGTCCGATTGAACATCCAAGTTACACTTCAAGCACATTTGAAGTTCAACTGGAAGTTGTTACCACCATCAGTAGTGCCGCTTGACAAATGAGCGCGAAAACTGGAACGGCGACATATGCTTCCATCGTCCATGCGGCCTAGTTAGCCCAAAACGGGCACGGAAGGGTATTTGGGAGCGAGGAAGTCGGGAATGGAAGAGAAGGGAAGGGTTGGAACTGGATAGGGAGGGAAGGGAAGGGGCAGAGCTCATCCCATGGCGAGCTGGGCCTCGTTGACCGTGGCTGCCAATTGAAGGAAGTTACGGCAAGGTTTTGTGAGAGGGAACGTGAGTGTCGAAGCGCAATTATTGGAGGCCAAATTATCATTGGGGCTTTGGGGGTCCATGCAGAACCTGAGGTGTGTAGTTTGCCGCGCTGAGCAAAGCTACGTGAAATAATAACAGACGTCGTGAAATATCTATCCGCACACATTATAACTAAAACCGCATGTAAAGAGGAAGAAATAGTAAGTTTTATTATATAGACTACTTCATCATAGACCAAAAGAGTATTTTCTATGTATTTTAAAACCACAGGCTATAATTGCACACCTGTGGAGCTCTTGAAAATATGTTTTGTTTAGGGGCAGATTTTTTGGTACGTTTCCTATCACGAAATGGTACGGGGAGCCGAATTTGTATGTAATGCGAAGTAGCATTGTTATGTTATTGGTGCGCGACATTGATTTGGCATCAGATGCTCGCCTCGTCAAGTTGCGACTGACTGCTCACACAGCTCAGTGTTTTCAAGAGCTCCATGGGTGTGCAATAGGTTTTGAACCCAAAGTTTGCCTGGGTCGCATTTCGCGGAACCCACGCGGCTACTCAGCACATAAGGTGCACAGTTCACCTCTTCCCTAGTCGCGAGTCAAGGTCGAGGGGAGCTTCGTAATGTGAAGCCTAAATACGTGCGCCGAATCCTCCAGAGGTACTGTAGGCTTTTATTTTGGTTTCACCAAGTTGGCGAAAAGTCAATTGAGTCGCGCGCGCGTTTCCCGCCTCATCGCACACGCGTCAAATCGGCGCCACTGCGTTTCAATAATCATTCAGCTGCCCGAAAACGCACCTTGCAAAATCATACTCGGAACCATCTTCAAGAATGGCGCTCTTGAAGCCCCTCCTGTGCCATTTTAGCCTGTGGCTTTAAAGCGTGCGATTTTTATTGCGCTCTTCATGGTACACCATGGCTTCCTGCATACAAATTTGTTATTTCAACAAGACTTGCATTTGATGTTCATGACTGTGTTGAATAACGAAGAACTTCCTGCAATGGTATTTTTAGTGCTGCCTGGCTTGTGTTGCTGACGTGTTGTCCGTCGAGCCGCTAGCGGTTCGGCTCCTGTCATCCGACGTCACCTGCGCCAGCCGCGCCGTCGCTCATGCCCTTAGCATTGAGGCTTGCTAAGGGGAGGAAGGACGTGGCTGGCGGCGGACACTCGCTGGCCACGATTCCCGCTCCCCATGTCAATCCATCAGCCAGCGCAGCAATTGACATTCGCGATGCGCAATTTCACAATTGGCGCCTGTTACGAAGGTGCGATCGCCGAGGCTCCCGTCATTTCGCAAGTTGATAGTGCGAACAGTTTGAGGGGGTTACTATGACACTTCTTTTGGTTTCCAAACATCGTCACCCCATCGCGGATCCAGCGGAAAGGGACCTTGAACAACACGCTCCCTCTTGAACCAATCTGTGTGTTGTTCTCTGACAAGCCCTGCCCGCAGTAATGACAGTTAGACCCTGCAGGTTTTACCTTCCCTGCAGGTCCCTATCGCCAGCCCCACAGCACTGGGCCGCTTCTCAAACCAGGCAAGGGGCCTCGTATAAAGCAAGCGCAGCTCGCTCGCTCGTTTCTCAGCAGCGATAGGTAGCCTGTTCTATTGATACGGCTTCGATTAGTCTTACTGCATGACCTGACACACGTTTTATCCAACGATTCTTGCAGCGTAGAGGCCCAGCTTTTCTTTCCTTCGTTCGACTGGCCAGCGATTATGGCATCCCTCTTGCCCGGGCTCCTCGTCTTATTACTGGCCTCCGCCATTCTCCCCTCCAACGCCGTTCCCCTGCTCCCCTCACAAGAGACCGCGCTACTCTCCCTGAAAACCGCGTGGGGAAACAACTGCGTAGTAACCAAGACATGGATACCCGACACCGACTGCTCCAAATGGGCCGGCGTTCTCTGCGACGATCGGGGGATGGTTATCCAGGTTTCCATCAGCGACCTTTCATGCACCGGCGCATTGACGGAATCCGTCGGAAACCTGACGGAGCTGATGCTGCTTGACGTGTCCAACAACTGGCGCATCGGCGGCAGCTTGCCCAAGAGCCTCTCGAAACTACAGAAGCTCGAGTCGCTCGGCATTCGCGATAACATCCATGGAAGATTCTCCGGCGGCCTCCCGGACTCCATCGGGAATCTTGCGCGCTTAACCTACCTCGCGTTCCGCGGAACGGGGCTCACGGGGAGCATTCCGCGCGGGCTTGCCCGCTTGAGTCGCCTCGAGTACCTCGATCTGGAATGGAACCTGTTCACAGGCGAAATCCATCGGGAATTGTCCGGCATGGCGGCACTCAACACGTTTGACTTGGGCGGGAATCGGTTGACAGGGTCAATTCCCCCGACCCTCGCGAAAATCAAGGGCCTGAAGCGATTGCTCGTCGGGAACAATAAGCTCTCCGGTGCGCTCCCCGTGAACGAGGTACTCGCTATAAAGAGCCTCGAGGAAGTGGATCTGCAACACAATCGGTTCACTGCGTCGTCTATCGCCGCCCTTGCGATCCATCCGACTCTGACAGACATCAATCTCAGCTGGAATGTTATTACGGGCAGGGTGCCCTCCCAGTTCGGGCAGATGAAAAAGCTGGCGGCTCTGCGATTGGCGGGAAACAGGCTGAGAGGAAAAGTTCCAGAGGCTCTGCTACGAAACATGCCGAGCCTCCACGAATTAGACCTTTCATTCAACGGGCTAAGCGGAGAGTTTCCCTGGGGGTATTTGAACACCGCCCCGGTGATCGAGCACCTGAAACTGCAGCGCAACGCGTTTACCGGCGCGATTCCCCCAGACGCGTTTCAAAAGGTCCACGTGGCAGTATTCAATATCTCCTTCAACCTCTTCTCCGGGCCCATGCCGAATCTAGGGTTCATGGGAGGAGAGGAGGAGCCGCCAGTCGACGTGCGCGGAAATTATTTTTGGGGCAGCCCGGAGTTCATCATGTCCGATCGGAAGGTCTGCCCGGAGGAGGGGCAGGCGGACCCCGACTCAGGCGATGACGAGTATCTCGCAGCGCTGAACTGCCTCGGTAAGAGCAGCACCTGTAACATGAAGCAGCAGCGGAGTGTAGCGGCCTGCACTAAGTTTTGTGGGACGAGTACGACAAAAGGGCCGTGCTCGGGACACGGCGTGTGCGTTCCGGCGGGTGGGAGCAAGTTCAAGTGCAGGTGTGCGAGTGGGTACAAATCGGTGGTGGGGAAGCCGCACGAGTGTGTCAAGGCATGACGCTTCCAGGGCAAAAATAATAAAATTACGTCTTTAGGCGGATGCAGCGCCATTTTGAAAAGCCGCATGGAGAACCAAGAGTAGTCTTGAGGCTGTATAAGAGTATGCGTGTGGGTGTGCATGCAGAAGTTATACAATCAGGGTAGCGAAGCATTTCTTTGTGAAGTTAGAAGTGGTGCGTGGAACATACGGTTAGTAGGTGTAAATATGCTACTGCATGTACGGTGCATGGCAGTAGAGACGTCACAAACTTTGTGGCCCCAGAATCATGCCCCCCAACGTAGGATACTTTGTGGAATGCCATGGGTGCACTGTGCGAAGTGTTTCGCAACATGCAGCGAGTTATGTGACCAGGGCGGGGATCTGGGGACCGACTTTGTCCAGAGTTCCACAAAAGCGCACAGCAGTGTCGTAACAGCGTAGAGGCGGGGTGGGCTTTTAGAGTGATATGTTACATGATTTAGGGTAGAGCTATATGGTTGAGGTGAAACAATTTCTGTTGGAAATATCTCGAGGACTTGAGCGTTTCTGAAGTGTAACACCACACTCGAGGAAGATCGTAACGGGTACGCGAGACAACAGAGATTACACGAGGGGATGGACAAAGAACACGAAAGGACTCGAAGGGTCGCTGTGCGACTCGATAACCACTCTTCAACTGTATTCTACAACTGCTCTACTTTCCTACTTTCTATATATTACTGTATGCTTGTTCCTTTAATCAATAACTTGTTCTCACATACTAGTACAAGGGTTCAACTACTCAACTTCCGCTGCACTACTCAAAGTCTCCTTTTACAACTGGGACTTAGTCTCTGGAAAGATCCTAAGGGCATTTCTCAGCCCAACATGGTATGAGAGCTGGTCAGAGACCAAACTCCCAGCAACTACGCTCTATCTACAATCAGCACACCAACGACTTCATTGATTACAAGTCATGGACAGCAAGGGCAAGAAAACCTCTACGGGCTCACCCAGTACCCAAGACACTCAATCCGGCAACTCTGGACTGCACACTTCAGGACTGCAAACCGAGATCGGCGCTGCTCAAGAAACAACAGGAAGAGCACCTGAAATGGTGACCCCATCACCCTCTTCAAGCGTGGACCCAAACCTCATGGAAAGGTTCTTCAGCTTCATATCCCACTTCGACCAGCAGCAGCAGACAAGGACACCTGCGCATTCAACATAGAGCAACGGAGGAAACATGGGATTAGCGCCGATGAGCCTCGACAACTCATCGTTCGGGCGACACAATCAAGCGCCTACCTTTGCGCCTTATCACTCTTCACCGGGGACGTTCGAGTTCATGCCGCCCCGTGCCCAACCAATAGCAGCTGCATCACAATAGACACCAAACGAAATATTAAGCCTCCAGGCGCAGTTTTCACACGTAATCAAACTGCAGACATCCTCACCGTTCAACGGACACGACTTTTTTACCTGGAGCTTCGAGTTCGAGCTGCTGATGGAGGCTGCGCATCTCTTGGGATACTTCAACGAATCCCTGCCATTTCCAAGCAATGGCACTGCAAAAGAGCAAGAAATTTTCACGTATCAGTCGCTGCTAGCGTACACAGTTCTCCTGCGGAACCTGTCACCACAAGAACAGCAAAGCATCAGAACGTATCGGAGCTATGGAAACTCCGCGGAACTCGCATGGCATCACCTCAAGTGTCTCTATCAAGCAAACGACAGCGTGACACAAAGCAGACTCATGCAGCAGCTGACAACAATACAGATGAAGACCGGGGAAAAGGCGATGCAGTATATGAGTCGCTGCCAGACACTCCGCGACCGCCTGCTTCGGTGCGGAGGAACAATCACTGAAGAAAGCTTCGTGACGCTTGTCCTCGCCGGGCTCGGGCCAGAATGGAGAACCACACGCTCGCTTCTTCGCGCCCACGGACGAATCTCGAAGATGCACCTCTGCGCCGAGCTCCATGCTGAACAACAGGAGATGGACCTGTTTGAAGAAAGACAACCAAGGAAACAGTAACCGTTAGTCTTCTACACTCAACGAAGGAACGACAACAACTAGAACCGACGCGACAAGCAAGATCAACGCGACAACAGAGGACTCACCATCGTGCCGCCGTTCTGCCACAACTGTCAAACATCCGGACACTCCAAAGTCAACTGCACACGTCCCCGAGCTTATCGCCCAGTAGACCCACAAGTCGCTTCCACTCAAGAAAGCCCGCCGAGGCGTTCCTCCACATCTCCACAAGGCACACCGAACATCATCAATTGCATGGTACACATCGACAACTGCGCACCCGGATCACCGCCCACTTACGCTCCAGATGAAGAAGAACTGTCGCCGCCGCGCTCACAAGGACTTCAGGTCAACCCGACGTACACTGCAGTCGCCAATGCCGAACCCACCGGCGAAACACTTGGTTCTTGGACAGCTGTTGCGGCCAACATATGTGTTCTTCCGGGCGCTTCGTGCAACGAGAGCGACGTCTCAACCGCGATGTCATCATCACCGTCGCCAACGACGAGAACCTGAAAACAAACCGACAAGGAGTGGTTCAGTTGCAGTCCATGGAGACAAACGTTATACTGCAACTCAACAAAGTTCTCATCGTTGACAATTTGGGATACAACTTACTCAGCGTCAGCCAGTTGATGACAAGAGGGATTCACCTGGAATGCGACTCGGACTTCAACGAATTTCGCCTTTACCACGGGAAGGGCGGTCTTTTTATCGGTCACGCTCTCCTGAAGTCGGGCGTCTTCGTGTTGGACTTCGTCCCCGACCGCGGTACTGCCGACAGCGACGGCATCGTGTCGTTCGCCGCATGGACGCACTCGCCAAATCTTGACCCCGACTTCACCCAGGATGGTTTCTGGTACTCCAACACCATACCTGCAGCAAAGAGAACATGAGCGTTAGCAGTCATTCGACAAGAAAGACAAGTACTAGCAAGCATCCCTTCCTCGACATCATCTGAAGTAACAGCAGCGGGACCCAGCCGAGTACCATCACCAGCAATCCGAGGACCGCCAACCGAAGCAGATCAACTTATGCCCATCACACGAGAAGTCTGCCAAAGTCCCGCCACGGTCGTCGCGTTCTTCTCCAACACCGACATGTACCACCGCTCGCTCGGCCATCGCGCTCCCGACGACATCTGGCACCAACGCCTCAGGCACCCTGCAAACAGCACACTACTACAAACAATCCAAGCCGAAGTGTTAGAACGAAACGCTCTTCTTACAACGAGCGGCCAAGAACTCCAACGACCACGCGCACGATGCTTCACGTGCCCCGAAGCCGATCTTCCCCACCAACCTTTTCCATCACATCACAACCCAAGCGCACCTGCATACGCACCGATGGAAAAAGTTTACAGCGACATCTTAAACATGCCTCGAGACGACAGTGAAGCCGACTTCAACTATGTCATCACGTTCATCGATGCAGCAACAAGATATGTCCGGGATTACAACCTCAAGACACATGATCAAGCTTTCGAAGCCTTCATGACGTGGCTCCCCATCGCTGAACGAGAATCAGGAACTAAGCTCAAGAGCTTCCAGTCAGACGGCGCACTGGAATACCAGTCACAACGATTTAGGAACTACTTAGCGGAAAGAGGAATCAGACGCCTGGTGTCTCTGCCCTACGCTCACCAGCAGCAGGGGGTCGCAGAAAGAATGAACCGGACCCTGCAGACGACGATGCGGAAGCTGCTCCTAGGGATGAGACTGCCCAACAAACTGTGGCCAGACGCGATGACACATGCAGTTCACCTGCACAATTTGTTATCCTCGTCCTCGCTTCCCAACAACGCATCACCGCACCTGCTGTGGACACGAAAAAGGGGCAGCACAAAATTACTTCGGGTTTTCGGCTGCATGGTACAGTACAGACCCCACACAGCCCGAGCAGGACGCTTCACTCAACGAGCACGGTGGGGACTACACCTCGGCATCGCGAAACATTTCCAAGCATGGAAACTCCTCGACATACAAGAAAAAAATACCGTGGCATCACGTGATGTGATTTTCTACGAGCGACTGACGCTGCAGCATTACCTGGACAACTTCGCCAACACAGACGACCCCACCGACGGCTTCGCGGGACTTCGGTCCTTTGCCAACCGTGCCGCCGAAGCTGACGCAGCAGAAGAAGACGTACCCGGAGCTTCGGAAGCTGCCGGACCACTCCCTTACTGTTCCGTACCTGTTCCACTCGACGACCACAATCCTCTCGATAGCAACAACCTCGACACCCATTACCAATTCGCTGACCAAGGTTACGTTACACCTCACCCGATCGACACGAATGTCTCAGAACGCATCGGCCCAAACTTCTTACCTGATCCAGAAGATGGTGACGAAGCAACCTATTCTGGGAATGAAAATTCCCCTCGACACACACCCACGGGACTGCAGATACTCGGCTTATGGGTCTCCGTCCAGCACCCGCCGCCGCCGTCTCCGCGCGAGCCAACGACTCTGTCGCAGGCTCTGGGGGGGGAACATAAGGCGAAATGGAAGGAGGCAATGGAAAAAGAACTGAAAGCTCTGCAAGACCGAAATACATGGAAGCTGGTACCTGCAACGAACATCAACGGGAAGAATGTACTCTCGGGAAAGTGGGTGTACCGCATGAAGACTAATGCGGACGGCTCCATCGAACGATTCAAGGCTCGATGGGTCGTACGAGGTTTCGATCAACGATACGGAACCGACTACACAGAAACATTTGCCCCAGTCTCCCGTCACACCTCCTTGCGCATTCTACTCACCGTCGCAGCCATGAAGAAACTACCAATGCGCCAGATCGACGTCGCAAACGCCTTCCTGTACGCACTTGTGGACGCCGAGATCTTCGTCGAGCAGCCCCACGGATTCATCGACGATCCCACAAAAGTATGCCAGCTAATAAAATCCCTTTACGGGATCAAGCAAGCTCCGCGGCTTTGGCAGCAGCATCTTCACGGTCGCCTCGTCAGAATCGGGTTCCTACAGCTGCCGCACGACCAAGGCATGTACCGACTACAAAAGGAAAGGGGTTTGATCCTACTCATCGTCTACGTCGACGACCTGCTCTACATCGGCTCTACTACCGACATTGCCACCTGGTTCAAAGGGGAGCTGAGAAGTGACTTGACACTCACAGTGTCTAACACCGTGACCCAGTACCTGGGTCTGAACGTCGTCGAAGACAACTCGGCGTTCTACCTATACGCTGGAAAATGCGCAGGGGTTGTCGCGAAGAAATTCGGATTAACACCGACTACAGTCACAACTCCCTACCGCTACGGGAACAACAATGACACCTCCGCAAAACTCCACGCGAAGAAAATCCAGGAGTATCAGCAGAAGCTCGGCTGCCTACTGTTCGCAGCAGTAACCTGCCGACCGGACCTATCTTACAGCGCGAGCCAACTGGTGACGCATCTGAAGCAGCCGGAACAAGAAGATCTCGAGGAACTAAATCGGGCACTACCCTACTTTGTCTCT